TGTTTTCCCTCCTAATGACCCTGCCACTTGGTTCTTTTTATGACTCTGCCATGACCCCATTATCAAGTTGTTGTTTTTCCTAATGTAAATTACTGGCACCTGGCTTTGTGTTTTTTCCTAGGTCACTGGGGCGAATGCTCGTAATGTAAGCCCTATCCTAGATATAAGCCCTATCTTAAATATAAGTCCTAATTGTCAGCTAAACACACCACTGGCATATTGGTTTATAAAGTAAATTATGCCTTAAACAATGTATCAACAGTATTATTACTTTAAATAAATGATAATATAAATGTAGATTTTTGTACACTAAAAAAACATTTCCTGAAACTGGGCACTAATGTGTCTTTTGAAGCAAAAAAATAATATAAGACACAGTCTTTGGGGGGGGGGGGGGGGGGGGTGTTGGTGGTTATATCACCTAAATATTTTAAGCATAAAGGGAGGAACAAAACCAGGAAGACTCAAACTCTCAACAAAACACTTTGTACAGAAGTCCAGTCTCACAAGAAAGATGCCTATAACTCTACAGTAACTGCAAAATTATGTTGCCACATTAGATGGGGGGGGGGGGGGGGGGGGGAAAAATGCCTATAACTCTACAGAAGAGGCAACTGTTAAATAGAGCTCAGTAATAACACATGGAGCCAAGTGTTAACAACTGCAATTAGTATTAACGAATGGAGTCAAATGTTAACAAATATGACCAAGTATTAACATACATAGCCATGTGTTAAACGGAACTAAGCATTAACAAACAGAGCCAAGTATTAACAAATGGAGCTAAGTGTTAACAACTGGAGATAAACATTAACAAATGGAGCCAAATATTAACAATTGGAACTAAGTATTAACAAATGGAGCTAAATATTAATGAATATAGATGTGTTAAAAAACTGGAACTAAGTACTGATAAATGGAGCCAAGTGTTAATAAAAAGCGCTAAGTGTTGACAAAAACAGCCAAGTCTTAACTCAAAGCCACAAGGAAGGAAACACCTCGCTTTTAGTAGACAACAGATTGTTCATACTTTATCACTATGTGTAACAACAGCAGTAAGAGACTGATTAACAATTTATAACAATCAACAGCACTTAATGCTGTGTAAACACCAGCATCCGCAGTTCTGCTCAATTTAAATAAGACACCATAGCTGTGCTCAAAACAATTCTCTTTCAAGCACACTGCAGGGCAGAGAATCCCCACCCCAAGAATGTATATACGTTTCACCCCTTAGCTGAGTAAAAAAAAAAAAAAAAAACCACAGCACGCTGCTCCTCTCTGGTGCATGTCAAAAATGTGGGTACCATCTTCAAACTGTCACTACGATGTCACAGGTTTAACTTGCCCCATGATGTCACCTGCTCAACACACTTCACATCCTTAACAAAAATACTGACACTTTATAAGACAATGGCATGGTTACAGTAATTTCTGTCACACTTTCAAGGTTTTCATTTGAAGCCCCCTATATATATATAGATATTTTCAGTGACAACACACATCACTTTTTGCTTTATCTGTATATGACTGCCCACTGTATTTCCAATTTTAATTGCGGCCACTTCTTTCTAGTAAACATTTTTAATTAAAAAAATAATTCTGAAACCTTTCATCAATTTTAAAATTACCCAGAATGTTGACTACATTCATCAACTTTAACCTTTTACAAATCCTCCCCGCCCCCTCTTCAAAGGCTATTAAAAAATGTTTCTTATTGGGTGGTCTGAGGGCACCTGAATAAATTTAAAGGGTCTATAATATCAGTGACCATTGACAAAACAGAAACAAGCACCCTCAACTTTAGAATGCAATCCTGTTTGCGATTTTAATATTAATTTAAATAAGTTGATCAGTGCGACTATAGAAAAGTTACGGGTCAGCAGTAGACTGAAAATAAGAGGGTCCGCAAGCCTTAGCTAACTGATAACCGCTGCTACACAGCACAATCCTACATCTCTTTACTGATTCCTGCAGCTTCCGCTGATTCCAAGATGCCTGCTCAGTGTGCGATTATAGTGTATATAATTATCAGGGAGTGACCGTGGTGTAGCAGTTAGACATCCGCCTGCAGATCTGAAGGTCGTGGGTTCAGGTCCTGAGGGATCAAACTTTTTTCAAAAATGACCTTGGCTCCCAGCCTTAATCAGATACCAGGTAGAGTCCTGGGAAGTAAAGGCAGCCGGTGTGATGTTGACCATATCACTCACTGAGTACCGACTGGTCTATAAAATGTAGGTCGTCTGAAAGCATGGGACAGGGTACTTTATTTCTTTACTTTATATAATTCTCATATTGCATTAATTGTCCCTTTCTCAAATCCTAACATTATTAATCATGTTCACTTAATTTTAAATCTAGCTCTTTTCATTATGCAATTCTGAGAAGACAGAAGAGATAACATTACAAATGAAGAAATCTGAAGACAAGAGACTGAAACCAGTCGTACAGTTCATTAATGAGCAACGAATGAGATGGTCTGGCCATCAGCATCACATTGGCCACCTTCATTTCCCAGGAAATTTCCTGTTAATCATTTTAGGCTGGGCCAATGTGGTAACCCAAGCCATTTATAGAACAGTCTGCCCTGATGTGGATATGAAGTCAGGGCCTTCCGGTGCAAGCCTCCAGACACTGTACCACCACTGCTCCCCTCATCACTTATGTAAAAAAATATAAATATAACTTTCAGCAGATCACTAAATAAGTATACCCTTTAGTAAATATCATTTAATAGTTTTACAGAAATGTAGCTGTGTGAGAGTGTACATCCAGGGCAAAAGGCGAGGCATGTTGCAGACAGCACCTGATTGATGGCCCAGTGAGTTTTCCTTTCTTCTGTCTGCCAGCATCAGTAACATGTTCAAAGAATAGTTGCACCTCAGAAGTTACTGTTTCCTCTTCTGCCATACCACTGTTTCCAAGATGTAGCCCAGAGTTGTGGTTTTCCGTATCTATCTTGCGCTTTTAAGGTGGCTCGAGTGATGAATTTGTTCAATTTTTGTTGTAGTATCCAGCTACACCGTCACTGCATTTAGAGAAAGGCATGCTCAGTGCAGAGTGTATGTATCGCTTCAAATGCCCCGGGCACTCAGTTTTTTGTTTTCTTTTGAATACTTTGCCCAGGGCAGGCAGGAATGTTGGGCAATGGAGAGACTGATAGAATGGCTGGTTCTACTCTAGTCGGTAGTGATAGATATGGTCAGGGCTCTTTGAAGGCAGGTGAACAATGCAGAGGCATGGTCATCTGGTGGACGCTCTACATTCAGAGGACAAGCAAGACAAATATATAACCAAACTGCTACTAGCACCATCAGAACTGGAACTCTTCACTGGCTGCAGGGGATGAGGACGGAGCGCATATGCGAATGTCCCACAGTTCTTAGCTCAACAATCCACCTCCTCTGGTTTTCCACTCACCTTATGTCCAGAAGATCTGCCGCAGAAAGTCTCATATACAGTCTGATCAGACCCCCCCCCCCCCCCCCCCCCCCCCCCCCATCTTTTTCGTTAGCTTACTAGGCTAACTGCATGAGGGGGAAAGAAAGATTTAACCAGGCTGATGCCAGGTCCCATTAGCCGGAAACTTTGAAGTTACTAGCTTTTGTCAATTAATTTTTGTTACTATTCTTCTCTGTATAGTGTTCATGTTTAGCAAGACTTCCTTAAACAGGAAGATCTTGTAGTCTTGTCAAGGTAACCCGATCACCTTTGTCCCCTGAATCAACATCTCTAGTTTAAAGTTCAAGTGATGAGGATCGACCTCACTGCAGTATTTTATCCCACGCAGCTCGGGCTCTCTCCACAGAGCAGGTTAGACTATCCAGTGTCACACATAGCACAGCTAGAGTAATGATCTCATAGGACCTCTAGAAATTTCACACACAAACTTAAAACCTACAACCCTCAGAGCGTGAGGCAACATTTGATCACCTGGCCACGGAAACCAGCAATCACTAGAATAACCAATAACACACAAGTAAAATACTGCACCCTCAAATTATGCTTGATTCCTCTCATGACACCTCTTAGCCTGAAATGTTTACCCAATCAAGAAGCCACACCATCCATCACTGGTTCTTTACAAAAAAAAATCGCTCTCGTCATAGAACACTGTGCTGAGATTCTTCAGACTCAGGCTTGAGTAGAACTAATCACTTATGGGTTACATCCGTGTGCCATGATGTTGATCCGTTGAATAAACCGAAGCATCTTCAACTGCTTGTATCCACCTTTGCGGAGATCAGCTTCGGTCTGATTTTTTGGGAAGCCATGCCCTGCCTCACCATATCTTTTCAGGCCTACAAAGATTTATGTGCTTCTTCTTCTTCCTCCTCCTCTTCTTCTTCCACCTTCAGAGGTCAATGTATTTACGAAAGCAGTGGTCAATCTGACATAGCTGATATCTCAGTCGTCTGCCCTCAAAAGGTGCCAGTACTGGCCAACATCAAAGACCTTTGTTACACTAGTGACACACTGGGCACATCATGCTGAAATAAAAAAATTTTCTAAACCAATCTCAGCATTCGATGGGTGATGTGTTTAACTAACACCATTTTAGACTGGGCTGACCTTGGAGCCAAGGTTAAATTTGAAAAAACCCAACTGATGCACATTTCAAACCAAGACCTTCTGGGTGGGGGGGGGGGGGGGGGGGGGGGGGGGGGGGGGGGGGAGAGATGTGTCTCCAAAAGTCATAGCACTTGTATCATCAAATATAGTTATACCTGCTCTGCATATGTCTGACAACCAAGTTATGTTCAACAAGGGAAAGAAGGTGGGAGGAATTAAGGGGAGGTGGGCTGTGGGGCGTTGTCCTGTCATGAAATGCAAAAACTAACAACCAGGGTAATGCCATAAACTTCAACCCCCAAACAACCTTGCAAATATCATCAAACACAACCAAAAGGCTGGAGGAAATAACATAGCTCAAGGCCAAGGCCGACCAGCCACGAAATTTAAAACACAACACAATATGAATACTGTAGTCAACAGACCCCTTAAACTTCTTCTCCGAGTCGACTGTCCAAGAAAAACGGGGTCACAGGAGCCCAGGGGTGATCAGACCCTTTGGTTCGATCCCCACCCAGGCTGACAGTGTCCCCACCACAGGGTAATAACGGTGAGGAGGTAACAGTTTCATGGGTTGGGTGTTGTTGTTGGGAAATCACCTGTGACGTTACAATCTGTTTTTCAGCAGTTGATGACAACGTGTGTGCTGATGAATTATTACTTTGCACTGAGGGATCAGATGAAACTGTTGAATTAATTTTCGAATGTGAATCTACTTTGCACAGCAGAGATTTGTCTACGCTGCTCGCTGCGTTATTACTAGGTGAACTCAATGCAGCAGAAGTGTTCAGGGACAGGTTTTGATTGTGCGGCAACGGCTGCGAGGAAAACAAAGGTGAAGATTGTATGGGGGTCTGAGAACCGGCCGGCTTACAGCTGAATGTCTCAACCGGTGCTGAAGCTGATGAGTAATGGACAGAGACGGCTGATTGTACAGATGATGTAACTCCTTCTTCCACACTGTCACTTCTGGATGGCCTCCGAGAGGCTGAGACAGACTTCAGGACATCAGAGGGTATCACAGGGACATCCATGTTGGAACTTGTGAAAAACGCCATCTTTTCTCTGTGGGAAATTAATGGGGGAGAGAAGAAGGACAATTAAAAAGAAAAGTGTATGGTTATAATTAAGCAATGAGAATTTTAATAAAATCTGTTAATTTTTTAAATTAATTCTTATTTTTGTTGTTCTTTTTATCTCCCTGCCAACAGTTTTTTTTTTTTTTAGATCAGAAGGCCGCGGGCCTTTATAAAGATGGTGGTGTGATTAGTTCATTAGTTTGATCTCTACCTAAACATTAGACCCGAGATCTCTCTACTGCATGTAGGAGAGCATGTCTGCAGCACAAGCTCAGTATTCTGGGTTTTTGGGCAAAGTTCTGAGTCCCGGATCTTGAATTTTTTTGTGTACATGCAGGTTTGTTTGTTTGTTTAAAAAAAAAAATTTGTTTGTTTTTTAATTTGAAGATTGCAAAGTTTTTTGACAGCCCAATGCTACTGTAAAGGAAGTGCACAGTCTGTTTAGCTCTTAAAAGAACCCAAAGATCTAAAGCTGTTCTGTGGATCCTAAAACCCATCACCAGATGGTTGGCTGGTTATGAATCCTCTAGAACATTAAGCCTGATGCACTGGTGCTTGGGTCATTCAAGCTGTATTTCTTTCAGTGCCAGTAAATGCAATGTCAATCTGATGGTTGTCCCAAACATCATATACTTATTCCAGCTTTCTCTTACGGCCCCATGCTGTTAGCACTTCAGAGCAACAATCTGGGTAAGAGTTGAATAATGCAACAATTGGCAGTGACAGAATGAGCGTTAGCAGCAAGTGCCTGGGTTAGGAATTTCTCTCTCTCTGTGTTTGTGTGCGCGCGCATGTGAGTGAGTGAGTGAGTGAGTGAGTGAGTGAGTGAGAAAGAGAGAGAGAGAGAGAGAGAGAGAGAGAGAGAGAGAGAGAGAGAGAGAGAGAGAGAGAGAGAGAGAGAGAGAGAGAGAGAGAGAGAGAGAGAGAGAGAGAGAGAGAGAGAGAGAGAGAGAGAGAGAGAGAGAGAGAGAGAGAGAGAGAGAGAGAGAGAGAGAGAGAGAGAGAGAGAGAGAGAGAGAGAGAGAGAGAGAGAGTGAGAGAGATAATGCCAGGAGGAAAGAAGCATTATCAAGAGGAAACAAAGAGACAAGACTACCTGAAATTAAACATCCGAGACTGATGCGAGCCCCGCCTCATTTTGTGCACATCTTTGGTGACTTTCTTCATAAGGTGTTCAGCTCTCTTGTCCTGCTTTGAGATGTACTCTCTCCGATCACCACTTGAAGATGCCTGTGAAATACACATAAGACATAGAAACTCCAAGGCATAGAAATAACTGAAAAATCCACATTTTTTTTCTTCCTTTACTCTTTGTTTCCCCCTCCATCCCCGCCTCTCCACACAGACTTACTATTATTAACAGTACAGACTGCTTCTTCATCTTCTCTGGTCCTGATTTGCTTTTCAGTGTCAGGTTCTGAAGAGGCATCAGGTGTGGGCCGTGGTATACTAGCATCAAAGGATACTGATTTTCTATATATCGCTAATGTTGTCAGCCTTTAGCTTTGCCTGTCCAGGCTCTCTGTAGTGCACTGTTTGGTGGTAGTCCTGACACTCTTGACACAAGCCTGATCCATTTTAACTAGGAATTTCTTTTTTTTAAAATTTAAATAAGAAAGGACGGTGCAAACCCACTGCTCTGATCTTAGGGGATTACAGAAAATCACATCAAACAGAAACAGCAGCTAAATGTACAATGCTACCAACAGAAACAATAGGGTCCACACACATTACATAATGTACACAGCAAACAGCAGTATCTAATTTGAAGATTCCACAATCTGCCTGATAAATACAGTTAGTGTTTGAACAAATCTTACAATTCTTCTTACATAAAAATTGTCTTCCCTGTCATAGAGAAAGCTGATTTTCCCAAATTTAAGGGTTTTTGATGACACGACATCTTGGAAAGTGGCCAATAAGATTAAATACAGCTTTGGTGAACACCCCCCCCCCTCCCCCCAGGACCATACAACGAGCAACCAACACACGGTGACACAAAGTGCTACCATGTGGATGAGGATCACCCAGGCACAAGTCAACAATTAGGCACTCAATGGTGATGTGGTCAACATCATGCCAGCCGCCTTTAATTTCTAGGACATACTCATTTTCGCCAGGGCTCAATACTTAGATGGCTTAGTCACAAAACATAAGCAAAACATGAACACAGATGTGTAATGTGATTCTGGTCTTTCTTAGCATCACTGGCTGTGAATCCCTGCGGACAATTCTGGTTACTTTTCAATTTTGGACCTAAGTCTTTTTCCAAAACTGGAGTCTTACGTGCATATCCATTTTCTAGATCTGGCCTATTTGTAAGGAGACTGTTGGTTTCTTGCCTCTCAGGAAGATGCATTCTTCTTTGTTCACCGACTGTAAGCTATGGTGTAGTCCTGACTGTTCATCCATTTGCATTCTGACTTTGTGATAGGGCCTGAGATTTGCATGTACATCCATTTTATCGGCTTATGTGCGTGCAGTTTGATGTTACTTTCCGCTTAGGCAGATGCACTCCGACTTCAAAGGAAGCTCCCAATTAGTCAACTATTACATGTTTTTTTTTTTTTGGAGGGGGGGGGGGGGGTGTAGTACTGGGTCAAATTTCCCCCCCCCCCCCCCTCCCAAAGGGCCCCTGAACCCACACGAACTGACTCTGGATATTGTGTGAGATGGTGAGCCACCTTTGCTCAATGAACTTGCACACAATGATGCTAGTTAGGTTTAATCAGCTGAGATTTTCCTAGGGGGGAGTGTGGCAAGGAAATCAAATCAAGACATCCAATATAATGAATTCAAACAAAACCATGCTAGTAAGCATTCTTGCAGCAGGGGAAGAACAAAGAGATAAATACCCGGATTATTTAGCTGTATGTCATGAAAGAAGCATGAACACAGATCTAATCTGTAATTCTGGTGATCATGTGAGTTAGCAAACAAGGACTGGCAATGCTAATTATTATTATTCTTCCTTCATCCTCAAGACAATATCAGGAAAGAAGTTTGGATGGAACCAGTACAAAACTACAACAAGAGACAACAGGTCAAATGATTTGGACCTGTGTCAAGACTACTACCAGACTGGACCAGAGAAAGCTCTGTCAATTAGACATAATGAAGCAGGGCCCGAGGTCGATTTCACAAACGATGGACAGATGGAATTTCCCAGATACCAGCATCTACATAGCTCATTCAAAGGCTCACACCAAATGCTGCTTCCAAAAATGACACTGAACAGCACAAACAGGACTGGAGAAGAATTATTTATCATCAAAAGGGAGGATTTACACATTCTGTTGTGGTTTACAGCTGGACAGTGAAATGTGCACATTTCTGCCGAACATATCCAACTTTAGCAAATCTTGCTTTTTCTGCCTTTTACTGCATGTTGTTTGTTAAGGGGAGTGGGGATCTGTTCCCTCCTACCTCCCCCGAAATGGGGGTCCTGGAACATGCATGAGAAGCTATGCTGACATGACATATGATGATGATAATGATGATGATGAGGGTTAATAAATTAGGATTTTACTGTCAGAGAGCATGGCAGGACATTCTAATTAGGGCATCCAGTAAAAACAGATCAACCAAACCATGCTTGGGAGCTTCTTATGACAACTACTGATACATTCCTGCATCTCACATGAGGCAGTTAAATGTTGTGTCTGCTTGCATCAAAGACATGCACCACCACAGTTCATTATGCTACATAAAAAAAAAAAAATACAAAGAAAAAAAAATTCAGAAGGGAAGCAGGAAGAAAAAAAAGAGGATAAGAATGAGAAGACAGAGGAAGTTAGGGAAAAGAGAAGCCATAATAAGAGCTAAATAAAACAGGAAGAAGAGAATGGAGAGTTAACTTGCCCGATTGGGTGAGTCTACCATTACAACTTTTATGTACAACTTTTGCGGTTTATGGTTTATACAAGGGATTAACATCATGGCACAAGGGTAGTAACCCAAAAGTGTTCTGTTCTATGTCTAACTCAAGCCTGAATCTAAAGAATCTCAGCGCAGTGCACCAACTATCTTCTACTGGAGAGGATCCTGAAATACTTTGGGTGGATTTTTAACTCAAAATTTTGCAGCGCCCGTTAGGCTACTCTTTTCCATTTCATACTGGCTGCTTCCATTTCATACTGGCTGCCAAGGTTTTTTTTTTTTTAAACGTGTGCAGCAATACACATGGGCATGCCATCTTACTATCCAGAGACCAGGAGGAAATTATTAGAAGTCCACGTGAAAAAATTCCAGCCTTTCCGGGTCCTAAACCTGTGACCTCCAGCACTTGAGGCAGACGCCATGCCACAAGACCATTCAGCCCCCCTTTTTCGGTGTAGGCGGGGAGGGAGCAGGGTTTATGAGCCCGAGGATTTAGGACCACATGGCTATTGCTGTTGCCATGGACTGTGTAGGTTAGGATTTCGTTTTTTGCTGACAGAAAAAAATGCACAACCTTATCAAGGATTTGAACCTGGGGCTTCTGCATGAGAGCCCAGTGTTCTTAACCATTGGGCCAGTAGCTCCTACAAGTACTTCCCAGAAATGTGTCCTGGTAGAGACCAGTCATTGCTGGGAACAACAAACCCACCCTATATGACCGCCGGTAGGTTTCTCCACAGATGGCCGTGGACATAGAGAAGCACTTAATTCGATATAAGAAGCACCATTTCTATGTAGGACAGCCAAAAAAAAAAAGATTACCATCACAAATACCCAATAATAATTCAAGAAGCAACATTTTGAGAAAGATAACCAGATAAAGATCGCAACTATAACCATCATTCAAACTGGTCTTCCTTCAACCAATAAATAAGCAGGGGTGGACTAAGATAAGAAACTGAAGGAGAAAAGAAAAGAAATAAGAAGCAGAAAATCAGGAGGGGAGAAGACAGAAATGGAATAAGAAAATGAGGAAAAAGGAATGGAATTTAGAAAGCTTTTCACCAGCAGACTCCTGCTCCCACCGTGGAGTACTTTCTTCTTGTAAATGGTAAAACAAAAGATACAGTAGAAGTAGACTAAGAAAGCAAGATAAGAGAAGGAGGAGAAGTAAGAAGTGGAAGAGAATGGAGAAAGCAGAAAGTGTAAATACAAAACAAACCAAAAAAATAACTAAGCATGTCACTACTGTAGTATAAGAACAAGCAAGAGGCTTCAAAACCACACAAGGAAATGACTTTTCTTACACATCTGGACTGCCAGTAGTTTGCCTACCGATTCAAAACATTGTTACAGAGTTTAATCATTCTGAGCTATGTTGTTTGATACATGACATTACTTCTGAGGTATTTGTGATCAATCCATGATAAATCTATTGTAAAAAATGTGGAAAGTGTGACTGATCTTAAGAAATGTGGATAGTGTGATCTATCTTAACAAATAAGAAAACCGCCATCCATCTGCATCAAATGTGAAATGTGTGATCCATAGTCAATGCAGATAGTTTTGTCTATTTAATGTGGAAAGCTTGACTGCTCTATGTGTAACAAATACAGACGTATTTCCTATGACAAATGTGAAAACTGATTCATCTGAAGCAAGCAAGGAGAAATTAACGACTGCCTAGAAAAAGTTCATGTAAGTTGAAATTACATGTAACCATAAAAAAGTGGCTGAATGAGATGAATCCTTGTTACACGTTTTTTAAGAACAGTCTCGCAACAAGTCTTTGGACATATAAAATTCAAACAGCTGACAAAAAAATAACAAAATGCACCATCTTTTAAAATGTTACCATAATTACTGGCATCATGGGGGTAATAGACTGAAAGGACAGGGTAGATAGAGAGAACGACAGGGTATATCGAGAAAACGACAGGCTATATAGAGAGAACGACAGGGTATATAGAGAGAACAACAAATAACATACAGGAAATGCTGCCTACAGGAAAAAGTTAAATGAGAGTAGACTGCGAAGGTTGGGTATAAAGAGAGATATGCATACACAAACTGCACACATACAAAAGTTGAAGACCATGAGACAGACCAAGAAGAAGGTGGAGAAATAATATACAGGATGGTCTACAAATACTTGAAGTCACCTACTGGAAAGAGACGGCCAAATGCAAAAATGGACACCTGTGGTATCTGCAGCAAAGAACCACAAGGACTTATAAAGATGAAGCTGAAAAAGAAGAAGATAAAGAAAGGAAGGAAGGAAGGAAGAAGATAGTATTCTCTGCTCATGAAATGAGCATAGGGCCATTGAAGAATATTGTTACCGTTAAGAAAAATCAACTTTAAAAGGGGAAGATGAAGATAAAAACATGCTGGATGACATAAGCCAATGAGACCGAGGAATATCATCAATGCTACTGAACCAGAACACCAACAGCCTAAATCTGTGAAGAACGCCTTGTTCCAAGGCACATGACGATGATAAAAATAAATGTAATAAAGTATGTCTGGATGGATGATGCATGTAAATTAATTACTACTGATGTGTACAGTCTACAATAATACTCTTACCAGTTTTTCAGCCATTGAAAGCAAACGATGAAACTTTTCATTTTCTGACAGCCATTCTGGCAACTCCCACTGACCTAAAATGAATAAATAAATCCAACATTTTTATGGAATATTCTATACTGTGTATAGATATATATGAGAGAGAGAGAGTGTGTTTGTGTGTATATGAAATAGAAAGAGAGAGACAGGTTTAAAGTTAGAGTTGAGAGGATCGGTTATCCCATATGGCTCGATCTCTCTCCACAGTATGACTAACTACCTGCCGAGACCACTGTATGAACTCTGTAGCACCAGCTACGATCCCCAGGGATCTCTGTTAAAAGCTGCACTCATGAAATAAACAATGTGTCTGTAAAATGAATTCATGACCTTCAGAGCGTGAGGCAAAAGGCTTGAACACTTTGCCATGGAGACACCCTATGTGTGTTTGCATCTGTTGGGTACATATAGGTGTGTAATGTGTATGTATGCTGAGCAGAGACCAATGTGTGAGCATTAGAAAAGAGTCAGAGAAAACAGTGAGAAAGAAAGAGACAAAACAGGATGGGATGGAGTAACAGAGGGAGAGAGAGAGTTAGACAAGAGCAGTAAGAGAGGGGGGAGGAGAGAGAGAGAGTTAGACAAGAGCAGTGAGAGAGGGGGGAGGAGAGAGAGAGAGAGAGAGATAGAGAGAGAGAGAGAGAGAGAGAATGAAGAAAGGGAGAAATAAATAAAAAAGAGGATAAGAGAGAGAGAGAGACAGAGAATAGGGAAGGATACACAGAGACAGCAGAGAGGGGAGGAGATGAAAACATGTGTTTTGATTACAAGAAGACAAGAATACCAGAGAGACTGAGAGGTAGAGGAAAGAAAGACAGCAGAGTGTATAAAATAGGTAGGGGACAGTGTGCTAAAAGAATAAGATGAAAAACAGACATCAGTAGATATCTTGCAAAGTATATATCCATTTGGACTAGTAATTTATATTAACTGTGATGAACTGACTGAGATTAAAGACATGCAGGAAAGTTCAGAGTTCAGGCTGTTGTGTGGACTATGAGATGATCCATCAAAAACATCTGGAAAGAGATTGAAATTCATGAGCATTCTCATACTAAATAACAAACATTTCACTTGTCTGTTGACAGAGGGCCCTTTGGGAATGAGTAAATAGTGTGAGGCATAAACAGATCATCATGTTCTGAACAGAATGATGCCGCAAGGAATGAGCTACCTTTGTTCTTTGACTCCTCCAGCGTCCGCTTCAGCTCCTTCAACCTGGTGATCTCATCCACCAAGTGTGACAGTTTTGTGTGCGAGGCCTGCAGGTCAAGCTCCAGATCTAAAGAAGTTCGGAACGGGAGCTGCCCAGTTACTGGCATCACACCAACTGACCCATCAGCCTGAAATTAAATTGCATATGCTTTTTTTTCAGCATCATCCAGAGCCTTGCCACATCTTAAAACCAACAATCTGCGAGTGAAAATAATGAAGCAAAGACAGATATGACCAAGAAGCTTAGCTTAGCGAAAGAGAAAGGAAAAGCACACAAAGCTAATTAGCTGCCTCTTATGACATGCTTATTAGAGGGGCATAACAAACAAATATGCTGCTGACCACATCACTCACCAAGTGACAATTCGTCTATAAAATATAGGTCCAGCCCAATACACCTGAAGGTGTGGGAAAGGGTTCTTGACTTTTTACAAGAACTGATCAGCACCCAGAGAAAGAAGTAGAGAGAGATAAGAGGACACATAAAAATTAGTGGGTCTATTCTTTGTCTCCATGTAATGGAATCCACACGGGGAAGACCAACAGTGTTTACTGGACAAGCTATGGGCAGGAATGAACTTCAGAACTTGGCTACAACTGGCAAGACACATGGAAAAAAGAGCAAAGTGGAGGCAAAGGAATAAATACCAGGATGGCCTGGTAGCGAGAATGGAGTGATCCATGATTTTGGGAATCAAGCTAGATGGCAAACAATTTTATGACAATGATGATGATGATGACGAAAAGTACAAAGGGCAGGGAAAGAGATTATTGTGGTGTGGTTTACCTGCTGAAACCATGTTACACAGTTATTTCAGTGTTTCTTTGAACTTAGCGGACTATTTTCTTCTAATGCAAATTTTAACAACTGTTAGTGTAGATAAAGTAGAATGTGCCAACATGTATTGGACCTTAAACACTTACCCTCTTCTACTATAAGCTCTACTAGCTGACTGCACCACTATATCCAACAAAAAATAAAATCTGACTGCAAAACTATTTCCAACAAACTATACTAGCTGACTGTATCGATATATCCAACAAACTGTACCAGATGACTGCATCACTATATCCAACAAACTATACTAGCTGACTGCATGACTAAATGAAACAAACTATACCAGATGACTGCATCACTATATCCAACAGACTATTACTTGCTGACTGCAGGACTATATCCAACAAACTATACTGACTGCAACACTATAGCCAACAAACTATACTAGATGCCTGCATGACTATATACAACATTGGAATAAATATAAACGACTGTTTTTACATCAACAGCACAAGGAGCCTACAATGTTTACAGACCAAACGGCCCTTGATGGGTGACGTGGTCAACATCAAGCTGGCCCCTTTACTTCCCAGGAAATTACTTGGTATCCATTTAATGTTGGGTTGACCTGAAGGGTAGATTATGAGGAAAGAAAAATTCCACACAATGCGGAATCAAACCCAAGACCTTTGGGCTCTGTGGAAATGAAGTGGTACAAATACACCTACCCTCTTCCAGCGTAAACTCCGCCTGCTGACCGTGTTTCTCTGGAAAGGAGTTCTCCTGTACAGCGGGATGGAACTGTCACTATCACTGCGATTCAGCTGTTGAATAGAATTCAGATGGCAGCTGTTAGCAGTACCAAACTGTTTGCCCTATTGTTATGTATTGTTGAACAATTTTATCATCCTAGGGTTATTAAAAAGATCACTTTTGTGGTTTTTCGGACATCTGTAAGAAAGTCTCACTGTGGCAGAGAGTGGAGCCTTAACACTTTATATTCCCAAAGATTCCCTAAGTGGATTCTGCTGTTCCACTGGGGGAAAGGGGGAGGGGAAGTGGTTGGGGGTAGACTTACTGCCCTCCTGAAGCATGTTAATTAGGGATGTTTCCTTTGAAGTCAGAGTACAGCTACCTAAGAGGTGAGGAATCCATAGTCTGCAAACAATTAAGCCAGATCTGTAACATGGATGGTGTTTGAAAAAGCTCAAGTTCTGGAACAAGATACCAAAGTGCACAAGTGAACAAACAACCAGAACTTTCCCCTGCAGTTTATACAGCCAGTGAACACTGTGGAGGAGAAGAATATATTCCCAAAGAGACAGCAGTGAGTAGACTACAGCCAACCTTTAAATTTTTTTTTTTTTTTTAAATGTCAGAAAGCAAATTGAGGCTCTGGAAATGTGGAAATATAGAAGAAAAAATGTGGAAATATATAGAGGAAAAGATGTAGAAATGTAAAAGTGTGGAAATACAGAAGAAGGTAGTATTTCACAGAAACAAAAACAATCAAATACAAGAGATTTTATAGACTGGAAAAAAATGTGGGGTTGGATGGAGAGGGAGAGGGGGGGGGGAGAGAGAGAGAGAGAGAGAGAGAGAGAGAGAGAGAGAGAGAGAGAGAGAGAGAGAGAGAGAGAGAGAGAGACCCCCCCACACACACACTATATATATATATATATAAATTGGGTTTCAAGAAACTAGTCACAGATGAGACTGGTTAAAAGAGTCTGGTGACAGATAAAACTCTGGCTAAAAGAGTCTGGTGACAGACAAAAACTCTGGCTAAAAGAGTCTGGTGACAGATAAAACTCTGGCTAAAAGAGTCTGGTGACAGATGAAACTTCGGCTAAAAGAGTCTGGTGACAGACTTAAAAAAAAAAAATTTGGTTAAAAGAGTCTCATCAATCAGCAAGTCCTTTACAGAACGTCACAGCATACCTGCTGAAAGTCTCTTTTTCTCCAGACAATTCACCAACCTATATGCTTTCATGGCCACTGCATCTTCAATGTCCTGTATCCACCCTCGCGGAGGTTTGCTTCTCTCTGCCCCTTCTCTGGAAACTACCTTCCATCATCGTTCTCTCCAAGTCACCATGACATTTAAGATAACCAAACTACCTCAGCTTTTGAGATAGGCTGCTGTTGATGAGCCAATTCTCCTTGATGCTCAACTCATGTAGGATGGTAAATTTTTCCTTCATGACCCTCAGTATTCTAAGAATTTTTCTCCAGCATTTCAATTCAAAAGCTCTGATTTGTCTTCAATGATTGAGTAAAAGTCCATGAGTCACATCTTTAAGTTGTCACTCGAAAGATGCATGATCTCAAAATGTTTATTTAAGCCCGCTTGCAGGTGCTGTACCACAGGTATGCCTTCAGGCTGCTTAGTCTCACCGCTGCTAAAGCAAGTCTTTTTCTGACTTCTTTTGAGCAGTTGCCATTGTTATTCCCTACTTCATCTTCTTCTTCAACATTTCGAGCTCTTGAGGTTCATTGCTGCAGATATCACCCGCCTCCATTCATCTCTCTGTTTGGCCTTCTCTTTCCAGTTGGTAACACCAAGTGTTTGCAGGTCTGTCTTGATATTATCTCTCCATCGTCTTCTTGGTCTCCCTCATGGCCTACGACCATTCATTTCCCTGGTGTATACAATTTTTACTTCTCTGTAATTTGGCATTCTTTCAGTGTGCCCCAACCATTTCAGTCTATTAGCTCTCATTTCATTATTATTTCCTACTGAGCCTAAAAAATAAAAAAGCTGTGACTATTTTCAATCTCTTCGTTATTGATTTTAATGTGGTTTGTGTGCTGAATTGATTGTGAACATCTTTTGCTGTTGTTAAATCCAGAAAAATATTGTCCTCTTTACTGTGCTTTTTTACTGTCCAAATTAATTCTTCTAAGCCCTGCACACCATTGGAAAGAAGTTAATAGCTAAAATCCATAGACTGAAAGACAGATAAAACTCTGAACTAAAAGAAGAACCCACCTTGCAGACATAACCAGGAGGCTGCTGTCTGCACGTTGGGGAAAACGTCTGAGACCGCCTGATCGTACTACTGCGGAGGCTATCTGCATAGTGCTGGGTCTTATGATGATGATGATGGTGGTGGTGGTGAGGGGCCCTGTGTCGGACTTCTTTCAGCTTGTAGTCTCCACCTTCTGTGTTGGTCTCCTTGTCACACTTGGCTACCAGATCCCCATCCTCCGACTCAGTGAAATCACCATCATCCTCCTCCTCGTCATCATCAAAGTTCTCAAATGAGTCGGCCAGATCAGTGCAGGCCTGGATCATTGCCTGGAAGTCTGAATCCTAAACAGGGACACACAAAAAAAGGCTCAGAGGCAAGTCTAGGATGGGTTGTAAGAGATGGTTAAAATTGTGAGAGTCTGTTAAAAAATGTTAGAGATGACTAAGTCTGAAATAGAATGTAAAAAGATGGCTAAGTCTGAAACAAAAGATAAGAGATGGTTACAACAATAAGAGATGTTGAAAAATGTAAGAGATGGTTAAAAAAAATGTAAGCGATGACTAAATCTGAAATAAAATGTAAGAGATGGCTAAGTCTGAAACAGAATGTAAAATATGGTTAAAATTCCAGAAACGGTTAAAAATGTAATGGATGGATAAGTCACAAATAGAATAAAAGAGATGGTAAACAATAAAAGAGATAATTAAAAATGTAAGTGATGGTTAAAAAAAAATTAGAGATGGCTAAGTCTGAAACAGAATGCAAGAGATGGCTAAGTCTGCAACAGAATGTTAAAGATGGCTTAATCTGAAACAGAATGTAAGAGAATAAATGAATAAGTTAGTGAATGAATAAGTGATGAGTGAACAAATGACAGAATGAACATGTGAACAAATGAACAAGTAAATGAATGAATAAACAAATCTCTCAAATGGCTAAGACTAACCTTCCTGTTATCCGAGTCGCCCTCTTCATCATCATCGTCATCCTCCTCACAGTCTTCCTCTGCCTCTCGCCCGTGCTTGAAGTGTGGACCATCAAACTGATGGTTGTTCATATCATCGGGATCTGGCAAATAAGGCTTCTAGTTAGTTGGGCACATCAATCATCATCATCATCAGGTGCCTTGCCGACTGGCGTGGGCGATCATGCCTCTCCATAATCCGCGATCTCCTGCAGCATGTATCAGTTCGTGTGCCGACACACCTCCATGCCATGCAACAAGACTGTCAAGCATCTTCTCTCGTTGTCTTCCTCTATCCCTCCTTCCACAGATCTTTCCAGTGGTCACAACATGTTCTATTTTCCCTCTTCTCATAACATGGCCGAAAAATTTTGACTGTCTCCATCTGATGTCAGTGATAAGTTGTCTTCGGGCTCCCGCCTCTTTTAAAACCTCTTGGTTGCTCTTTTTGGGCACATCAATACAGCAGTAATTCAATCTTCTTCTTCTTCACCTTCAAACTATGACAGAAAGTCATGGTTGTTTGTTTACTTTTAGACTTTAGTATTGTTCCAGGACTTGAGTTTTGCATTCACATCCGTTTTACAATTATGTCACTTGTGTGTGTGGATGTGCAGACTGTTGGTTTCTGGCCTCTCAGGCAGATGTACTCTAGCTTAAAGGGAAATGTTGACACTATCTACAACCACCAACCCCCCCCCCCCCCCTATTTGTTTTCCATGGAGAACCTGTTTCTAGGATGACCACAGAGAAGTGTAGATATATTCTGACCGGCAGGGACCCTGCAGCACACAACATGTGGTTCAGAACCTTTGCATCCATGGTAAACGTATGACAAGTCTTGATAACTACCAAAAATGGAAATTTTTGCAGGTTTTGTTAAACAGAATGAACGAATAAACAGAATAAAAAGGAGTTCTTTACAGAACAGAACGAGACAATCCGCCTTCCCTGGTCACATCATGAGATGGAGAAAACCAGGGGTGCATCCTGATGGTGTGAAAGTTGGGGAGGAGGGTAGGCAGAGAGAGACCTGCAGAGAGCAAGCTGGGTGGTCTGATGTCATTGCATGGAGGACCATCTGTGCCAGAAATGACTTAAAGTACACAAGACAGATTGTGGATAGACAACCAATGCCACACAGCATGAGCTATAAAAGACACAGAAATGAAATAAAAAATACAAGGCTGCAGAAAAGTAATTATATTTTTTTTCTCACGTGGGTCACCTTTCTGTGATATTTTTGTAAAATTATTATTTTAGTTAAGTATTTTCTTCTCTGTTCACCGGCTGTGAAGTGCTAGTTGTTCGTCCACTTTTTGGCCTTAATCTTCTTTCAGAATATATTTTTTCATGTGCCCTAATTTGATCAAACCTGGCTTATTTGAATGCAGACTCTTGGTTCCTTGCCTCTAAGGCAAATGCACTCTGACTTCGAGCGAAGCCACCAATTAGTTGACTTATAACACATGCTTTGGGAAGGCAGTGGGTCCATTCTTGTTTTCCCCACAACAAGGGACTGGAACCCAATACAGTGACTTGATTCCTTCTAGGCTGGTCAACATTTTGTCTTTTTTATAAAACATATGTAACCATTCAGTGAATCAAACTGATACACGCTTTTGGAGACAGCCTGGTGTGGAAAAGAACGATTACCCATGCCAATTCGCAAAGCATTGGATGGCCATGACTATTTTTTTTTTTAAACTTATAGCCAAAAAATAAGAAGTACATCATCCCCAAAATAATACAGAGTATGAGAGAAAGTGCATGAGCCAGAAGTTGATGGCAATTACCAATGGCTCAAAGCACTGATTATAAAAAAAACATCATTTCCAAAATAAGACAAAGTATAAGTCCATGAGACAGAAGGTTGTGGATACCAATGCCAGACACCATGAGATATAAGAATGTCTGCTTCGGGAGCTGAACCGTACCAGCACAGGATTACATGCTATGCCACTAGCCGTAACAAGTGCCTCAAGCCAAACTTTTCTGGAGGCTGAACAGGTTGCCTTGTTGGTCTGCCATCCAGATTGAGATTCCGTGGTCTCAGGAAAAACAAAGATTCAGACAGCTGTCTGGAAGGGGGTAAAAGATGGACCTAAAAAAGGAGCCTAACATGTGAACAGAGAGGATGAGCCTACCTTGGTTTCTAGTCAGTGTGGATGTCTGCGAGGATATGATGGTGGATTCATCACTGCTCTCTTCTTTCATGGGCACCATGACTTGCTGCTGGGGCCTGCTTGCCTCTCTAAAATGCCAGTAAAAAAGTCTCATCTTTAACAAGGAATCTACTACCTTTTTTTTTAAAAACTGCTGCTGCTCCTTCTTGTTGCTTTAGCACACTCATGGTGGCCATAAGACATGGTAATGGCCTAACCCTGTTGCTCCTAGAAGACCTAAACCTAGTCACTTCCAGCTGTGACAGTCCAATAAATGTCGATACAGTGTCTCCTCGACTTATAACCGAGTTCTAATCCAAATAACAAGCCATATGCCGAACTGATTGTAAGTTGAATTTATATTTTTTAACACTAGTTTAATTCAAATAGGTTACAAGTTTGTACACAAAACACAAAAATGCAATCTATGTCCACAAAATTATTGTGCATAATGTGAAAAATACATAATATATTCTCTACTGCATCAGTTCCAGAAACCGTATGACCCTAACAATGTACGGTGTGTTAAAAAAATTATGCTCTTAAACTTAAACATCTCGAAAACTACAAATCAACAAACATGGTCTTAGATTTTTCCATGTCCTTACAATTTTATAATTTGCAATGACATAGGTGCTGCTGTTTTCTCAAAGCTTTGATCTTCGTCTGAATAATAAAATATAACCCTAAAGTATACAGTAACTGACACAAATTGTTTACTCACAACTGATGCTGCCCTTCGCAGAAGGTCTGCGGGTAGCCAAAGTAGGTCTCAGGCATAATGCACACAGGTATCAATGTCCAGCATATTTTCATCGCATGTAGTTAGTTATTTTATAAATTAATCTTTTTATTTTTAAATTAATTTTGGTTTTTAGTGAAACACCAAGCCCTGGTTCTGCTGTAGAACAGTGTTGTCAGAGATGTTCCAACATCGATTCCAGCACTCACCTGTGACCTGCGTTAGCCTCTGCAGGTTGGTCCTCACTCCCACATGCCGCAGCTTGTCTCAGTTTAGCAGACGAGGCTTCCAGCAGTCGATGAACTCGATCCTGGGACTGTTTCTGAAATAATAAAGCAAAACAAATTTTTTCTTTTTTAAATTCACAACTGGAAAGTTGGGTGGAGAAAAGAGGCAGAGGGAGATCAAGGGGGAAAACAAGATGTTTGACAGTCTGGTATCATGGCACGGACAAAGATGAACATAAGAAACAAATAGCAGTAAATGAGACACTAGCGGTGGACGAACATGATTAACAAAGTCATCAAATCTTGACTACAAGAAGAAGTGAATCCTTTTTTTTGTGTGTACACCCTTAAAAGGATGGTTGGCATGCTGTGTTGTGGTTTAAAGCTAGGCTGCAACATCTGCTATTTTCAGCCCAAAACTTCAAATTTCAGCAAAAATTAGTTGCATCTGATGACATTCCTATAAGACTGGCCGTGGGTCTATTATTTCCAATACACTCCCCCCCCCCCCCCCCCCCCCCACGTGACCCCGGAAACTCTCACCAAGAACATTCTAATTGTATTTGTATTTATATTCATATTATGTACTTGCTATGGACATAACATGTTTTATAGGTAAACCACAACTGCTGTGTGACAGAAGAGTATTTGTGAGTGCTGAATGTAAGTCAGGCCTGTATGCCCAATGAGTAATCCCGTGAAAATATGAAAATAAAGTTTGTTCATTTATCTGCCAGCCTGGTTTTCACAGGTTTGAATCCACACTCAGGCAGACTTGTAAAAACTATTCTAGTCTCAGGGGTCCACCCAACCAAAAATGTATACCACGTCCTGGGAAGTAAAAGCAGCTAGCATGATGCTGACCACACCACCTGTCAGTGTCCAATATGCCTGATGTGCCTAAAGGTAAGGAAAGGGTTCTTTATTTTCATCATCATCATCATCATCATCAAGTTGTGCTCTCATATGTCAGGTAGGGTTGGCAGTTTATTCCTCCTTTTCCGTTCTACCCTGTGCAACTGTTTCAATATCATCAATGGAATTTACTCCAGCACTTTTGGATTTTCTCATCAGGTGCCTTGTCAGCTGGGGTAGGCATTTATGCATCTCCATAGATCTCGGTCTTTGGTGTTCTGGATCAATTCTGTGGATGATATTTCTCCACGCCACTGTCTTAAGCCATCCATCATCATTTCTCTTGGTCTGAATCTGCATCTTCTATCAGTGATCTTTCCAATCGTCACAATATTTTCCAGTGCTCCTTTTCTTATCACAAGATCAAAGAACTTTATCTCTTTCTAACTGTTGTATATAATGTTCTACTTTTATGTTGTAAAACCTTGTTAACACAAATTCCAAGGTACCAAAAACTGAGTTCATGTTAAAAACAAAACTGTGTTAATTTGGGACTAATACAAGTAAAACATCTCCGCTGGGACCACAATTCTGTCTATGTTAACTGAGTGTTCTTAATAAGCAAATTTGTGTTGACGAGGATTTACTGTACTGACTTTATGCAAGACATGCTAAATATAACACCAAATGTGACCAGAAAGCTCAATGGTGGGAACGGAAAAGATGCACACAAACACAACCAAACATTTCTAATAAAGTCTTTGTCAATGGAGTACTAAATACAGCACAGACGGTCACTGGAAAACTCAACAAGCAAATCAACAGAGCTAATTTAAAAAAAAAAAAAATTATAAAAGTACAATTATTTTACGTAGCTGAGTAGTTCTCATGACCTACCTGTTTTGTTTTGGAGTAGCTAACGACAGGTTTGACCTCCTCTGAACTGCTGCTGGAGGACGGCAAGGACTGTCCCCCGGAGCATTTGTTGTTGGACAGGGAAACTCCTTGCCCTTTCAGCTCCGACTGCAGGAAGCGGAAGCTCAGCACGTTGTACCAGCGCAGGGAGGTGCCTTTCGGGTCAAAGTCTGCCAGGCTGACATGGGCACAGCCCTGAAGATCAGAAAACATGGAATCTAGTCAGTTGGAGGTGTTATGTCTATTTTAAATGCTGAAGCCAAAAGGAAGCAGGCAAGTGAAAGAGACACTGATACTAGTAGTAGTAGAGATTTCAAGTTAACTGCACAGTTACCCTATCATTTCTCTATCAGTCACAATAAATTGGTACTATTGCATAATGAACTTCGCCAGCCCAAACGCAAACTGTCCACCTGCCTTTCTCTAAATCCGACATACTGCGGTTTTTTTTCTTCTCTTTCATCAAAATGTGCCCACTTGAATATTTACAAATACTTAATAATTTATAATACAATCTGATTAAAGCCCTAATTTTGATATTTTATATGTATACATTCTTTACTTTATAATTCAATACCTCTGTCATGTATGTCAATGTCTGTGTTGCCAAACTCTTGTTCCCTTTTCCAATCATAGAAACCAGCAGCAAGTGAAATAACTGTTAACTTGGGTAAATGCTAATTTGGGTAATGTGCATAAAAGCCTTTTTTTTTTTAAACTCATGTCAAAGGCTTTTATAAAAAGCATCCACTACCCAAGATGTATGTTCATGTACGTGCTGATGAATGCTCCATTGCTGCAACGTTGGAAGTTTTGTTTGTGTTCGTTATACTGTGAAGTTTGCCGATATACTTTTCGTTTAGTTTTATATCTTTTCCACTACCCAAGAGGACTTTAGAAACAGGAAATCTAGACAAATATATTCTTTTTTTGTGTTTGTTCACCTGAGGGACATAACTGTGTTGTGCCTGTTTACAGCAATGCAATATTGGACAAATATATAAAACAGGATCACTTGTTTTGCTCACCAAACATTCTCCTCCCTTCTCTGCGCTGACACTCCACACATGCACCTGTAGAGTCTTGGAGAAAAGCCGGTCTTCAGGGATGTTCACCTGGAACATCTCAGAAAACCTGGGAGACTTCAGATCTGCCACAGACTTAGTCTCCAGGCACATGGTCTGGTTGGGCAGCAGAGCTGCAGTGATGCACCTACACAAGGGTGAGATCAAGGCAAACAAATTAACTACTTTCTCTTGGTTTCACTGCTGGAAATGTGGTGCGGTGAAGTGTTGGATTGCAGAGTTAGTACAGTAAACCAGGACCTTATCATGCATCTGGCGCATCAGAGACATAGCGTTAGATCTATATTTTTATAGAAAAAACATCACATGGGTTGTCTTTACTTCTAGGACAATGCCTGGTACCAATTTTCGGCTGGGTCGACCTGGCAGCCAAGGTTGATTTTGAAAAACTCCAGCTCAATTTAGATATGAACCCATGACCTTTGAATCCATTTCGACACGCGTCTAGCCACTAGACCCATCTAAATGTAATAAGGAGTAAACAGAAGAATGGAATAAGGAAGAAAAGAAAATGTAGGTAGGCAGACAAGCAAGGAAGTAAGAAGTCAAGCAGAAAGGAAGTAGGGCAGGAGAATAGATGAAAAAAGGCTAAATTTTAGGAGACAAGAAATGTCTGCTACTTCTAAAATAAAGGTTGGTTACAATGCATCAACTGCTGTCTTTGGGTAAACACACTACTGTGTTGCCCTGAAAAAAGACTGGGTCTTGATATTCATTTTTTCTTAAAAAATGCATCAAGGCCTATTTTTGGGGAATGTCTTACCTTTTTTCAGACAGAATAATCTACATTAATTCACGTACAAAACTCTATATACTTATTCAAATAGAGTCATATCTTCTTCTTCTGGAACATCATCATAACTCTCTAAATCAAAAAATTATGCCTGAATTTCTTGCTACTCTATTTCCTGTAGAGCTACCGGCACCAGTGATGTCTGTGTCTGTACAACGACTGGCCATTCAGTTATAAGTCTCTCTTTCTAGCTGATGATCTTAACTAGGGCTTACTTTGGGAATAAAGCTTATAATAAAAGAATCCTAAAATTATGCTAGGGCTTATTGACACTGAACAACAGTACTCAAGGATCATGAAACTGTTTAATGCATTCACTAACCTCTCAGGAACACAGTCAAAATTCATTAAAATGGAAGGAAACCAGACTAAAGCTCTGGAATGCGGGCACATCCTGGTATACTTACACATGACTGTCTTTCTGAAAGGGAAGTACTGCCAGGTTTCTGGCCTGCTCTATGCCAACTAGCAGTTTATGATCCACTCCCTCATACCTGTAGTGGACAAAAGTAAAATTACAAACTTTTTCACAAAACAATGCAAACATTGGTTAGTCTTTCCTCTTGAGCTTAGGGCAGCGCACAGAGCAGAGGTCATAGCCCTCCAGTCTGTGGTTCGTTGCCAGCTGTTTTAGGTCTTGGATGTTTGTTAGGCCCAGGGTTAAGCTTCCCTGATAATAGTTCTATGCAGGGTCTTTTCTGGTCTTCCCTCTTTTCCTTTCCCTTCTGGTGTCCATATGAGGGCAAACACTACTTTATACTCAATTCAGCATTTACATGAGCATCATACCAGAAAACCAGAATTAAAGAAATAAATTTATCAGTGAGCGTAGGAAATATTAAACCTGAATTAAAGAAACAAAAGTTTAAAGAAGTTTACAGATCATAAAAGAAAGAAATGTATCAAGAAGTGTTAGTCAGTCAATAGTTTAGGCTCTAGCTTCCCCACAGATGGGCTGCCCCATAACTGCTGTTTCTGTGACAGTGGAAGTCACACAAAATGTCCATCACTAGTGAAAAACATGTCAACAAAATCTGGAAGCTCACATATGTAAATGCGTGAGGCAGCTGTCAGATGTGCCAACAGATATGTGCAGATATTACCGCCTAGCTGTAAACCAGGACACCCAAACTGTCTCTGTGAGGTAAAACACAGAAATACCTACTGCAGTTACCCCTATTTCTGACATCAAAGTAACACTTGTGCTTTGAAAAAGCAAGACTGTATAACTGAGGATTTTCTTCTGCAGAGAAAAACAAGAATCCACATTTTTTTTCCAGCTTTTTAATGCAGCTGTAATAATGAAATACAGAGGTTATGGAGGGACTACAAATCAAAAGAGCTACTAAGAGAAAGGCAAAAAGACCACAGTACAAAAACCTCTTTTAAAAACCGTGCCGGAGGAAAACATTAAAGGCAAGACAGCAAGGAAGTTAACAATACCAGCAGGAGGAGAATATCAAGGCATGGATGAAACAGCAGTCTCAGAGTGAGAGTGCTGCCAAAACAAGAGACAGAAGGTGTTGCAGATCCTTTGTAGCCAACCTTAATTGTGGAGATGGCATCTGACTGATTGTATGCAGCTGTTTTAGTGAAGATTTATTTTGTTTTAGTGAATACTGAGAATCACTGATCGTGTAATTCACTTACTTGAGTCTAATTTGTATCTGGGCACTCTCTAAGTTGCACTCCAACACTTTGTCAATGTGGCCCGTCCTGCGGACAGGGAAAAAACAAAACAAAATAATACCAATATTTCTCCTCTTCTTCTTGCAATCGCAAACATTAGCCATTATATATTTAAATAAAACTTATAGCTAAAGTTGAGAGAATCGATTTTGTTTGATTTCTCTCTCCAGGGCATCCAGCCGTCTGCCGAGAACGTCACACAAAGCAGGAACGAACGCCCTTTCTCAAACAATGACCCACAGGGATATCAGTAAAATCTTCACTTGTGAACTGAGTGATGCGGTGTAATGATTTACATGAGAATGGGGAAAACCGGCTTGACCACTTCAACACTGAGACCCCAAAAATATTTAGAGAGAAGACTGCCAACGTCTGGCTGTTGACGGTGAACGTGACTGCCATGGACTGATAGTCAAGACAGGTCTCTTTTCCACACCTTCAGGTAAAATGGACATATAGGGCTAGACCTATATTTTATAGACACAAAAAAACACTGTGTAATGTGGTCAACATCACGCCAGCTACTTTCACCTCCCAGGACTTTACCTGGTACTCGTTTAAGGCTAGACCTGGGAACCATAGTCATTTTTTTAAAAGTCCAGCTCCGTCAGGGCTTGAACCCAAGACCTTCAGATCACCAAGCAGGTGTCTAGCCACTGCAAAAAATGGCAGCTCCCTATGGACTAACAGCATAAGAAAAGGGAATCAAGTAAAATGTGAAAAGACAAAATTTACTAAACTTTTATTTGACCATGACAAATCCACAAACCAGCGAACCGTGACCAATTTGAGTGTAACTTGTGGGTAACCTGAGAAAAGGTAACACCAGTGCGCTGGAGATTAGGCTAACAAAGACGAGGGTCTTGAAGGTTAGGGACACTTTGCTGACAAGAGAGTATCTCCCCCTGTTACAGGCTATGCTAAGTCTCAAGGTTACAATAAGCTCAATTCTATCCTTTCACTGGCCCCTTTCAGTGTCTCCAGATGGCATTCTGTTCCTAGGGATCCATCCACCCAAATACCTACCTATCTATACCCTTCATGTCCCGCTTGCACATGTCTTTATATTATATATTTTAGTAGAGGCTGAACTCAACATCTTTAATATTAACTAATCAAAACAATGCTTTTCCATTTTTGATTGAAAGAACGGGGAGATAAATAATACAGGGTCTCCTCGACTTACGACAGCCTTCCATTCCGACTAGCAGGTCATAAGTCAAACTGGTCGTAGGTCGAATTTATATTTTCAACACTATTTTCATTCCAATGCTTATATATTATATAATATCCACATAAGAAAATGCAATCTATGTACACATAATTAGTGTACATAAAATGAAAAACCGTGGGAGGTCTATTCCTGTTCCCCACAAAATGAGGCCCCAGAACCCACACTAGGTGATCATTGGTCTTTTTCCCGTTCCCCTTTAATTGGGCCCAAGAACCCAAATTGGGAGGTCATTGGTCTATTCTGGTTCCCATATAATGGGGCCCCAGAAGCCACTTCGGGAGGTCTATTCCTGTTTCCCTATAATGGGGCCTCAGAATCCCCACAAGGACAACCCAGGTCCAATCCCATTCACTCATGTAATGAATCAATAAACTGGTTACATCCAAATATAACTAACTCTTCAAAGATGTGAAGTCCTGTACTGGTCTTTCACACCCTAATTGTTTTTAAATTTGGGGAGGCAAAGGACAGTTTTGCAATACAGTCCCTGTAGAGTACTAAGTCAGTAAGATAAGTAAGTTTCTATACCAGCCTCCCTTCATTTAAAAAAAAAAAGCAAACATAATGCTAATGAACTGGAAGATATAATTTGCTTTCCATTCGACTCAAAACCAAAAACAACAACTTCCTTCTATCCTTTAGTTGCTGCACTATTCAATCAGTTTCATTAACCCTTCTGCACTGGAAACCCTTGGGGGGGGGGGGAGGTGGTGGGAAGCTCAGAACCTAAGAACTCTAAAAATCCTTCAAACCATTCTACAGAGGTCACTAATACAAACCTTTTTATTTCTCTGTAACATTTTTTTTAAATAAATGAACGGAAGTAATAAATAAATATAAATGGAGTGAAGAAATAAATGAATTACATTTCCCTGAGCCATAGAAAAAATATACACAGTAAACTCATACTGTGACCTCGTCAGAATTCCATCACTATGGCTATCAGCAATTTACGATGTTATAATAGTTTTAAAACTGCATTCCCCCTCCCCCCCCCCCCCTTTCCCTTTCCTAAATGCTAATTTTATTAAATATAGTCATATCTGAACCTCCTGAACACTGCACATTCGCATACACAACCAATGCTGTTAACTAAGCTACTGATAGCCCGCCCACTGCAGCCGTACTGTTTAAGTGATTTTACTGGATTGTGTCAGGGTCAGATGAGCCGGGTAAGCAGCTTCTCATGGTGAAATGGGTTAACACTTTATTTCCTATACAGTTTGGGTGTGCAGAAGTTGTTCTAATTCTTCTGGGTTCAAAACCAGCCATGCTAAACATTCAGTCCTAAACAGGGGAAGTGGTGCATCTAAAGTCGTCATTGGTCTCCCAATTTCTCTTGTAATGTGGCTTCACTGACCCAGACACCCAAAGCGCTGTTGGGGGTAGTTAGGATGATTCTGCAATACATGCTCAAGAGTCTGTCTGTCTGCTCCACAATCAAAGGCAGCAGATTCTTTTATGCCTATCCTGTGTAGCAGGTGTGCTCTAACACTGCAGAGTCCTGTCCCAAGCTTACAAACTGTTGTTTGTTCTTTCCTGTTAAGTTTGTTTATGCTGGCACTCTCTGGTCTGTAATTCTACCTTCTCCACTCCCCCTCGAATGGCTGCCTATGGGCTGTTTTGATTTCATGAAGGGGTTCGAACAGTAAAACTATGTAAGTAAAGGACTCATTTCATGCCAGTTGCATGTTAGGCCAGCTACTGGTTGCGAGACTGCTGAGTGCTAACAGTTGTTGGTGAGTGATACAGTTAGTTAGTCCACAGATCATTCTCAATTGCATTTAAAACCATTCAGTCCATAAGTGCTTAGATTCACTTCTCAGTAAGTCTCCCAGTGTGAAGTGGCTGACCACATGTTCTGTGTTGGTTTATTATTATTCTTTAGCCTCCTGCGTAGTGTTTGTATCTGGCCTAACCCCTTCTCACTTGCTGTTTTTGTAGTCTGATCATCACTATAGATTTAGTTATCACCTAATTCTCAAAGTATTTTATTTCTCTTATATCTTTCGGTATATGCTGCTGTTGTTTGCGCTTACCGGCTGTAAACCCAAGCGAAAGACCCAGTCGTTCGTCCATTTCCAGATTTTGGCTTAGTTCCAGGACCTGAGTCTTGCATGTGCATCCGTTATACAGATTTTGCTTATTGGTATGCAGACTGTTGGTTTCTTGCCTCTAAGGTTTATGCCCCCAATTAGTCGACTCTTATGACATGCTTGATGGGGAAGCAGTGGGTCTTTTTCTCATTTTCCCTACAACAGGACCCCAGAAGCCACACAGGGAATTTATCAGCCTGGTAATGGCTCATTCACTCCTCCATAGTAGCCTTACACTTAAACTTATCAGTTTGTTCATTTACTCTTATATGTGGCTACTCTGGCACAAAAATGAAACTTATCTTTGTCATCTGTGACCACCTCAAAGACATCAAACACTGTCTTTGGGCAAAATCTATCTTCCAGAGCAACAACAACAAAAACAGAGAAAGCATGCCCTAGTCAATGATCTATGACATGCCGAGTGCTAACAAGTGTTGGTGGGTGATGTGTTGAGTAGTGACAGCTGTTGGCTGGTGATATGTTGAGTAGTAACTGTTGGTGAGTGATATGTTGAGTTGTGACAGCTGTTGGCTGGTGATACACTGAGTAGTGACAGCTGTTGGCTGGTAATATGACGAGTAGTGACAGCTGTTGGCTAGTGATATACTGAGTAGTAACAGCTGTTGGCTGGTGATATGTTGAGTAGTGACAGCTGTTGGTGGGTGATATGTTGAGGAGTAGTAACAGCTGCTGGTGGGTGATTTGTTTAAACAGATGTTGGCGGTTGATTTGTTGAGTATTAACAGCTGTTGGTGGGTGATATGTTGAGCAGTAACATCTGTTAGTAGGTGATATTATGATTAGTAAAGACTGTTGGTGTGTGAAATGTTGGGTATAACAGTTGTTAGATGGTGATATGTTGAGCAGGTACAGCCGCTGGTGGGTGATATGTTGAGTAACAGCTATTGGTATGTGATACAATAAATAGTAACAGCTGCTGGTGGCTGATATGCTAAGTGCCAACAGCTGTTGGTGGCTGATTTGCTGAGATAGTAACAGCAGTTGGTGGCTGATATGTTCAGCAGTAACAGCCGTCGGTGAATGATATGTTAAGTAGTAGCAGCTGCTGGTGGGTGACATGCTGAGTAACAGCTGCTGCATAGGTGCAAAACCTATAGCTGTGACAAGCTTAGTAGCAGAATCAGCCTTTCATGTGTCCCATGCTGACAGCTACACTGTGAGGAGCCTTTCATGTGTCCCATGCTGACAGCTACACTGTGAGGAGCCTTTCATGTGTCCCATGCTGACAGCTACACTGTGAGGAGCCTTTCATGTGTCCCATGCTGACAGCTACACTGTGAGGAAGCAGAACTTTTATTTGTCCAACTATAGACGATACAGAGTCTAACAACGATGGCCCTTCTTTTCATTACTTTTCTGTTCAGCTCACATCTCACATGTGGCTAGGGAGGCTACTTTTCTTTCCCTTTCCATGCTTCTGTTTTTAATTGGTATTTATTTAAATCTGCATCCTTGATGTATCCAATGAAAAATATCTTAAACTGGTAAAACAAAAACAGAAATCCGCTAACCAAAAAGATATTTATTTTCAAATTAATTATGTAAATTATTTTCAAACATTCAGTGAAAGACAAAAACGGCAACAAACAACAGAAGCTTTCTTTCTATTCCTCTTCTTCTTCAGATGCCTAGTCTTCCCCAAGCGGGTTCCAGGGTCCCATTTTGTGAAGTAAAAGCTTAAGGGTGTGAAGCAGTTTTTAATTCCAAGATATTTGGTCTGGTTCCAGCGTAGCCTATTTGGCAGCAAATAATATTTGCTTTTATTTTGACAATAGTATCTAAGACCAACCCTTCAGAAAGCAGTGGCACTCCAGTGAATGTAAAAGCTGCCTACTGAAACCACAAACAGCCAAAAAAAATGCTAAGACTGGTCTGCAACATGCACTAACATTTTTTTAACCAAAATTTTGTTTAGTGTTACATTCCATTACCAGTATCTTTTATAGGGCTCCTTTTACCTTTACTCGCATACTCAGACAGTCAGTCCTTACCTTCGAACAGAGGCTTCGAAGACACCGCTGTCTCCTGTCACAGACTCATCACTGACTGCTGCCGAGACACTTCTAGTATTTCCATCAGAGAGATTGTTTCCCACCCCAGAGCTGCTCTCGCTGATAGGGCTCAAGGGTGGGTTGGGCCCCGATTCCACATTATGGCAATGCCTTGAGCTGAAGGCAGCTACAGCAGCAATGGATGACAGATTGTTTCCTGCTTTCAAAGCTTCATTTGAAAAGTGTGTTGGCACAGGAACTTCTGAAGTGTTTGTGGGCTGTAACAATGGAACCTGATAAGAAAATGCTGACGGTAAGGCTGAAACGGTTTCAAGCGGAGAGAAAAATGGGGATGAGTTGGTGGTGGTGGATGAATTCATGTTTGTATCCTTATTTTCAAACATGAAGTTTTTAGAAAACTGGCCGGGAGTAACAGCTGTACCTAGAGATGTAGTAAATGCTGCTTCTGTCACTGTTGAAGATCCTATGCTAACATCTTGCAAGACAAAACTGTTCTTCTGATCAATCCCCGATATGTTTTCAGTTATCAATGTTAAACCTCTAAGAGGATCAGATGCTGCATTCATCGAACTGTCAGAATTAGGGTTGCCATAAAGGATGTTAAAATCAGCTAGAGGCTTAGCCGATTCAAAACTGGCATTAACTGTTGGGTTGGAGTTTGAAAGACTAGCATTGGTAATCCACTGCATACTGTCACTGTTAGTTCCTCCATGAATCTGGTACTGCTTCTGATGTTGATACTGAAACAGCTGTTGATGTGGCTGGTGCCGCTGCTCTAGAGCACACATGTGTTGCTCATATGTGGGCGGTGGGCCCATCCCGTGGGCGGGGGAAACAGGCGATGGAGTGTTGGAAGAAGTCAGTGAGGAGATTAACGGTAAAGGCATGATGGTGGTCTGGTGAACGTGTCCAACGCTGTTGCTGCTGCCGGTGAGAATACTGCCCATGCTGCCATTACGACTGCTCAAGATGTCTGCACTGCTGGTGTCCTGCAGCTCCTGGCTCCCTCGGAGTACAGACATCAGGTAACTGGAGGTGGCAGCTTCAGTCACATCATCATGAGAGTGACCAACATGAGCTTCTTGAATAGGAGACATACAGTGGCCTGAAGCAAAAGGAAAAACTGATATACTGTATAGTTTCTATATACATATAAAACTGCTGTACAAATATAACCAACTCAAAAACAAATTATTATGCATTTATGAACAGTGAAACCTCGCTTCTCAATTCTAACAGCTTGTAAGGATATCAATTAATGAGCTTCTTCTTCTTCTCTTTTTTTTTTAAATATTTTAAATTTTGTTTTAGCCAGCCACTAAACCACCTCGAATACAAATGATTCAACATTTTTCAACTGCTTGTAAAGATATTTTTTTAATGCCTTAGTGATAATTTTTTTTAAACCCAATTTCTTCAGTCAAGTGTTAAAAAGAAGCAAGGGGAAGATGTGAGGTTCATTTGGGAGCATCTTCTAATACCTTGTATGTTTCCCTTCCTTTCTTTAACCCCGTCATCCCTTTTATTCCCCAATGAAGCATACACCATCACCCAATTTATGCCAAGCCATATCCTAGCTATCTAGCTATCTTTTCAACTTCACTCTTTATCCTTCTCCATGTGTGTTTTTGTGTGCTTTACATAATTCTATGCTCCTATGGACTCCAGTACAACCACATTCTAATTATACTTTTCACAGGTGTTCTCAATGTGTATCCTATCCAACACCAGCGTCTTTTCATCACCTCTTGATTCTCTGGAATTTGTGCACATGACAATACCAAATCCTGTTATTTCCAGCTGTGACACAGTCCTGCAATTGCAGATGTATCCACATGTCTGAAGTGACCTGTTCTGGAAAAAATTCCATTGGTTCTATGTGCATATATATGAACTGTTAAAGAGGCCCAGATATGTATATGTTAACTAGACATAGCATTTAGGTGGGTTTCCTTGTGAATCCAATAGCTTTTTTAAATCCTGGTTGCCACACAATTTTCCAGAGCATCTCGGTGATCACTGAGTCGAAACATAAGTCACTTTATATATACTTGTTTTAGGACCGAGGTAAAGTATTAGATTTAATTATCCCCTCTGTTTATGTTTACTGATTACTCCCTTTATATGTGTTTTTATATTTTAGAGAAAAAAAATTTGTTTAGATTTTTCTTTAAACTTTAAAAAAAAAAAATTTTGACCTGTGTAAAAGGTTTTTTTTCTTTTTAAAGATTTTTCCGGCCCAGGAAATGTATTCCATTTAATGCTCAAGTCTGTTCATGTTTACTCCCTTATATATCTTTGAATTTGAAAGAACAAATCTAGATTTTTTTTTTTAATTCAGTTTATTAGTGACCTGTGAAAAATGTTCTTTTTAAAAAAAAAATTTCTTAAGAAATTCTCACGGGTTAATGACCCCTCTTTCTTAACATTCACGATGAGAAAAGGTTAAGGTTGTTCTTGATGCCACTATTTCATCTCTTCCGCTGTCCACCCTTTGATCCTTGTTCATTTTATTTCTTAAGTGTGCCTCTCTAGGGAAGCTGGTACCAGAGCATTCTTGTCAGTTAAACCCCCTCATGTACTGATCTTTAATAAACTGTATGAGTGGTTTCAGTCCTTGCATTATTCTAATTTCTTTATTTTTAACTTCATCTCTCTTTGTTACTCCAGCTGCTCTCCTAAGATATCCCATCTTTGTTATGATTTTCTGTTCACCAGCTGTAGTAAACGTTTTTGTTTGACACTGGTAGCATATAGCTGACCAAAAAGTGCATCAAAATAAAACCAAATTGAAAAAACTGAACTAAATAAAAGCTTACAAAAAAAAACAAAAACAAATTTCACCAAAGACCCTGACTAACCTTGCAAAAGCTTCTCCACTCGCTGGTGCAGCTCTTGCAGATTTTCCTCGCCAGCACCACTCATCTGTCCTGAATTATAGATATCCATAGTGGATAGCGAGTTTAGAGATCCACGGCTCCCAGCAGATAGGGAGCCCAGGGAGCCTAGGCTGGACCCCGAAGACACAGACAAAGTGCTCAGTGACAAGCTAGAAAACAAAAAGAAGAAAGATTCTTGATCTACTGTCTGCGGTGACAGTGGTTCTGAAACTAAGGTCTTTCACAAAACAAGAAAAACTGTCTTTCTGTCTTTACTGCTTGCATTCACCACTTTTGTTTTAGGGCTGTATGGACAGGTATGTGACTTGACTTGGGGGATTTAGGGTAACATGGCTAGTGCTAAAAGGGTTCTCGTGAGATTTACCACTACTTCCTCATAAAAAAACGCCACTTGCAAAATCCAAACAAACATAGACAAGCCTACAAAAGTGTGGACTGGTGAAGGGTTTATGCTCCTTATGGAGACCAAAAGTCAGAGGAAGCAGGTGACTGAAGAACAACCTGATGTACCAGTCTCTTATCCACACCCACACACAAAAGAAGAGAATAACCAAATCAATCCCAACATCCCCAACAATGGCACAAGACAATTACTATATTATAGACTGACTGGAGCAAGTCATTATCTACACTCGACTTCGCAGCCACATGTACACAAAATTTAAACACCCCAGCAATAGAGCGGAAACTCTCTACCAGCAGGTGTGATCTGCACTTACTACAGAGCAAAGGCAACTGCCCTCCTTTATGCAGTCCAGCATCTCATCACTCAAGAACACAGAGGGCACAAAATTTTTACACTTAGTGACTCACTGTCTGTTCTCCAAACACAATCAAGCAACAACACACACAAAAACAAGACAAACTAACTGCAGATCTAAGGACCCACACTGGCTTGCTTTCCAAGAAAGCAGAACTGGTCCTGCAGTGGAAACCAAAACAGCCCTAAAGCAGTCCTTCAAGAGGAAGTGGAGAAGGCAGATGGAGATTACAGACCAGACAGTGACAGCAGAAACAAACTCAACCGGAAAGAACAAACATAAATGTTTAGGCTTCGGACAGGACACTGTGGTCTTCGAGCACACCTGCACAGGACAGGCAAAAAAGAATCTGCTGCCTGTGATTATGGAGCAAAACCAGAGACTCCTCAGCACATACTGCAGGACCGCTCAAACTACTCCCAGGAAAGACTGTGGATCTGGTCTATAGGAACTACAGAACAAGAGAAGCTGTGGGGTCCGGCAGCGACCTTAAACACACAATCATATTTGTGACCCAGAAGGGACTGAACGTTTAGCATGACTGATATTGAACATAGAATATAAAGAAATGTGCAGAATGTGGTTCCTTGCTTCTCAGGCAGATGCATTCCAACTTTGAAGAAAATGTTGGTACTGTCTATGTTGGCCAAGCTCCCGGCTAGACACCTGTGTCTAGGATGACCCTGAAGGGGTATAGACAGGTCTCAACCATTATGAACCCTGGTTCTGGTGCAACACCACGAGTGGTTCAGGAACTTGCATCATGAACAGCAACAACAGTATGAGTCACACGTGTTTACCTTCTGAGCTGGGACTCTAAATATGAAGTCAGTTTTGCTGTTTCTGTCAGCTGATGCACAATAGCAGTTTTCTCTTCATGGAGATTAATCCTGGGTAGACATTTAAAAAAATCCCTATTACAGGCATAAAATATTAATGCTGAGATGAAAGTTATGGAGAATTAAACTAAAATTACTGAAATTTTAATTTAAAAAACCGATGAAAACAGTAAGGTGAGTCAAGACAGGAATAATGTTAAAAACTTTAAATAAAAAGTGAACAATTTTGAAAACCAAAGTAATAAAAGTCAAAAACATATGATAATAATAAATAATAAAGTGAAAACCAATTGAAAATGTTTAAACATTAATAATAACATTCAAAACATGTGAAAATCATAAATAATAAAAGTTAAACATTACAAAAAAGACTTTAAAAAGGTAGAAACGGAAATAATGAACGTCCAAACTTGCAAAATTAAAATAATGAAAGTTAAAATATATTAAAATATGTTAAAATATGTTAGAACATAAGTAATGAAGACAAACATATGAGAAATGTTAAAAACATAAAATTAAGTAAACTTAGATGAATAATGTAACACACATACATAAATAATAAAGGTAAGAACATGAATCGCACATACGGATAAGTGTCTTAACTGTCTGCATTTAATACTTTTTAGGGCGGTAAATAGGGGAATGTTGTGAGCCTATGGGAGTCAGGGCCGTATGGCCAGTGCAGAAGCCACATACGGTGCAGGTTAAGATGTTATCATTACACCCGACAGAAAAAAACTATCACCTTACCAAGGATTCGAAGTAAGATCTCTCACTAAAAGCCAGCCATTCTATATATGGATAATGTACGTAAAAACAATAAATTTTTGTTGACTGATGACATCTTGCATGCCTGAATATCAAGAAGAACTGGCTCATAAACGGCCTCCTGTCCTTAAAGCTGAAGTATTTTGGACATGTCAAGCGCCACAGTGGTCTGGCGAGAACGATGATAAAAGGTGCAGTTTCTGGAAAACGAAGAAGAAGCCAACCTCCTTGAAGGCCAATACATGAACTGAAGATGCATTGGCTATAAAAGCACACAGGGCTGGAGAAGTGGCTAGAGACAGAGAGACTTGTGGGCGTGCCGTGAAGAGCAACGTTCTGTAAAGAACATGCTGACTGAATGATTGATGTAAAAAAAAAAACACACACACATGGCAATAGCCAACATTCCTACTGTTACATAAGATCGTCACTTAAAGGGTGATGCTACCATGTGAGTGGGAAGTGTTAGGCTGCTGCACACTCCAAGCTGGCCCCTTGGCTTAGAGGTTGGTAAAATGTGTTTAATTATTTAATTGTATTCAAGTAAAAGGGTTGGATATCAGTCTTGCCATAAACATTTTAAGCTATAATGCAGTAGAAAAAGAAAAATCAGAAAAAGAAAGAGGTGTTACCTCTGCTGAATCTGTCTGTTGGAGAGTTCCTGGGCATGTCGAAGATCATGTTCCAGCTTTAGGATTCTGTGTCTGAGAGCTGTCATTTCATCATCGTTGCGACCTTTCGGATCAATGCCTCTGAGCTCCCGCAGCAGCTGCTCCTTTTCTTGCAACAGCAGAAGCCTGTTAATAAAAGAACAAATAATCACTTTTCTTAGGGGTGGGGATTCAGTACAGTATCCCTTTAATTCTTCTTCTTTTGCTTTGTCTCCCCCCCCCCCCCCCCCCCCCCCCCCCCCATGGATAATAAGCCCTCAACCTGTACAACCTATCTTGTCTCTGACATGCTGTTCACCCCTGTGTTGTTCTCATTTTTTTTATATAAATTCCCTCTCTTATTCCCTTCCCATGTGATGTTATTATTTACTTTATTTCTCTGACCTTCTGAAGTTGCAGTACAAGGACACTCTAGTTATACTGCTTTCAGAAAACACTTCCATTGCACAAGTACTATGGCCAGCTTCTGGTCAATAAGGCAAATAGACAGGTTTACTGTTTAGCTGTGGCAAATCTGTGAGCTAGCTGCTGCATTTTCCTCCATATGTAGACTGAAAGGATATAGTTCCACTGCCCAGCTGCTGTGTGCAATGCATTTCACTGTGAGCTGCAGATTTCATTTGGAACACTTTTCAACTGTGCCCAACTTGGCATGTGTTGTGAAGTGCATATTCAGAAAATTACAAGCGACATGCTGACAGAGGAACCTGTGGCGCCTTATGCAATCAACTGCATGTCTAATTACTGACATCTGTAATTGCCACTTCCATCAATGCTAAACTGCAATTCTAGTGACAGAATGTTTGTGTTGGAACTTATGACTTCTGTCTTATGCATTTGAGGTCTGTGTGTGCTGTTGGATTTGCTAAGTTTGTCAAGTGTGTCAATTTCGTTCACAAGGGACAGTGCCAGGCAGTCTGTGTGGTTTCTGTTGCAGAGGAAAGGTCTAACTATGGGGTGACCCGCTTGATACAAAGTTAGAACTGTGATTACCTGATAATCATCCCAGAGACCAGATAAGAAAAACCTCAGCACAGTGTCTGAGTTATGTAGCAATGACAATGATCCTAATGTATATTTACCAGAATCAAACGGGCAATCATTATTTTTTTATTATGTTAAAAAGAAAATTTTGTTTACAAATAATTTAGCCAACCTATTAAACTTGCTCTTTTGTATTCCCGAATTCGGACAGAAATTTTATCATGCACAATGTGCTTACATCACCTCCACGATTATTGCACTTAAGTGAGAAATTATTTATTTATCTAATATAATTGAGATTAATAACCAGTCCGTACCTATCTTTGTCCGACTCTGGCTGGCCAGGTAACATCTTGTCCTCAAGATCCACCAAGCGACATTTCAGCTCTCCGAGTTTTCGCTGTGCCTCATCGTACTCCAGTCTCATCCTGGTCTTCTCTGCTAGCAGACGGCTCTGATTCAATCCAAACTGTGGAGGAAGAGAAATAAGATTTAATTCATTCATTCATTCACTGTAAAGGAGAGACATTAAACCAAGCTAAGGAGTTTAAGTACCTAGTCGGTGTATTCACTGAGGATGGAGGATTGGGCAGAGAAATTGAAAACATAATACGGAAGGCAAATAACATAAATTATCAAATAGTGCCACTCTTGAGGCATCAAAATATCAACACACATACACCCACATAAATAAGCTACTCGCACCAACTTTATGCTATCAATACCTGGCATGGGCAGTCTAAAAAAAACTGCAAAGGGAGATGAGACGTATTAGAAGTGTGGCGGGGAAAACAAAATAAGACAAAACCATGCCTGTGGAGCACTGCCAGTTGTACTGAATTAATGATCTTTTAATGTTGCTTCTGGCCCGTGACAATCCCTATTGAAAAAATGTTGCCCCAAAGTCATCTTCTTCTTCGCTTCACCAGCTGTAAACTCTGGCAGAAAATTCTGGCTGTGTGTCCACCTCTGGACTGTAGTCTTCTTCCAGAAGCTGGGTGTTGCATGCACATCTGTTTAACAGATCTAACTTAATTGTAAGCAAATTAGTGGTCAACTGCCTCTCAGGCAGACGCATTTTGACTTTGAAGAAAGCCCTCAAACATGCTTGTTGGGGAGGCAGTGGGTCTATGCTTCCCCCCCCCCCCCCACAATGGGCCCCGGAACCCGCACAGGGATACCCCCAAGTAAACTTAGTTTAATTGCAATGAGAGCATACTACATAACAACAGCAAGCCATAAAACAAGAAGCCCACCTATAAATAAATGGATGGATGAGTAAAAAGAGACACTAAAGGTCACATGGCTGTCTGCCAGGTATTTATCTCTTTGCCTTCTTCCCATCAGTCTTACCAGATGGTGTAAAGTTTTTGAGTGCACATATCACAACCTGTCCAACAAACACTGACTGTTTCGTGTAATTGTTCTTATTCCTTTACAACTTTCATTTGTCACCAGAAGGACAGCCTTGTTTGTTGTTCTATCATTTTTTTTATCATGTTCTTTGCATCTTCTCAAAACTTATATCTCATTTAGCAATCTGCACATTCATAAATCCTAATCTACTACAACTGAAATTGTTCTTCTGCTTCTTTGTGTTTACCGCCTGCAACCTCTGGCAGAAAGTTCTGGTTGTTCTTCCCCACTGGATGTTGGTCCAGAACCCAAGTACTGCATGCACATCCGTTGTACAAATCTGGTTTATTTGTATGCAGACTGTTGGTTCTATGCCTCTCAGGCAGATGCAGTCAGACTTCAAAAGTGCAACCAATTAGTCGACACCTACAACATGCTTGTTGGTGAGGCACTGGGTCTATTACTGTTTTTCCTATACCGGGGCCTTGGAACCCACAGGGAGCTAGAGAAATAAAGGACTGGTAATCCCCTCATGTGATAGACAAATAACAATAACCATAATCATGACATTAAAAAAAAGAGAGAGAGCAAACACCAGAAGAGCATATGCAACAAAAACAAAAGTAGAGGCACATACAGAATGAAGTAGTCTAAGAACATAGCAAGATAACATCAGGTAACTCTACAACAGTACAATGTGTCTATGGCCGAGTCGGCCAAAGGGGCAAGTTGAAAAGAAACAAAAACCTTTATCTCCCTCAACACCCAAAGCAGTAAAAGAAAAAGTAAAGAAAGAATGAAGACAGTACCAGAGAGAGCAACCAACGTCTCCTAGCTCTGACAAGCCACAATTCTTACCTCCCCTCTAAGGTCAGTCTGTGAGGCCATGTCTAGCCTGTCCTGCACCAGTGACAACGTCGAGACATCCGGAGATGACCCGCTTGCTCTCCGAACTAAATCCTCTTTTAACTTCACCAGTGACTGCAAGTAAATTTAAATACAACAAAATGTGAAAAGTTATCAGTAAAAATACCCACCAGGGTTCAGCAGTACATTTTTCCATGGGAACAGGAACAAACCCCCACCCCCTAACAAGTATGCCACAAACAAGTTAGTAAGTAAAAAGACCCTACTCCGCACCTTCATGCGTATTGGGCATTTAGGGCTAGACCTATATTTTATAGACCAATAGGTGTGATGTGGTCAACATCATACCAGTCACCTTTACTTTCCAGAACTTTACCTTGTACCCATTTAAGGTTGGGTCGACCTGAGAGCCAAGGTTAGTTTTTGAAACAAACAAACAAACAAAAATGGCTGGCTCCATCAGGACTTGAACCCACAACCTTCAGATGAAGAGTCTCAAGCAGATGCACGCTGATTTGAAGGAAACATCACTAATTAGTCGACGTTTACAACATGCTTGTTGAGGGAAAGGTGGCCGGGGACGTTCCCCCCCCCCACCCCCCCCACCCCCACACAATGGGGCTTGCAGCCCACACAGGGAATCTCATTCATTCACAAACCATCACTATTTAAATTTCTTTATAAAATGTTCTTTTATCCTTTCATTCATTAATTTCCACGCCACTGCCAGCAATTTCTTTTCAATTCCCTGATTCTTTTTTTCCTCCTCTCAATCGAACACATGCAATTGCTTTTCAAATGTATCTTATGTTGGCATTTATTTAATTCTATGATTCTTTCTTTCTTTTTTTCCCTCTCTCATTTATTTCTACAAAATCATAATTTTCTTTTTCAATTCATTCATTTTTCATTCCCCCTCTCATTCATTAATTCACACACCTGCATCAAGATTTTTTAAACTATCCCCTTCCTTTTTTCTTTCTCCCTCTCTATTTTTTTTCTTTCTCCCTCTCTCATTAATTAATTCCCCACTTATCATCATCATGTAGCAGGTCCTTTGCAGAATGTCGCTCTCATCACAGTCTGCCTGTAAGAAACTCGGTCTCTTGCCAGTTCTCCCGCCTCATGCACTTTCACACTCAAGGAGTCACTTATATCCTGTGCCCATCTACGTGTCGGTCGGCCTCTGCCCCTCCTTCCTGGTACCATGTCTTCTGCTATAATTTTTTTCCAATACGTCGTGGCGCTTGATATGACCAAAATATTTCAGCTTTTGAGAAAGGATGCTGTTTATTAGCCAATCTTCCTTGATGTTCAGATCTTTTAAGATGTCAATATTTCTCATCTTCTTTGTCCAAGGTATTCTGAGAATCTTTCTATAGCATTTCAGCTCAAAAGCCCCTATTCTCTTTCTTAAGGACTGAGAGATAGTCCACAACCCACATCCGTATGTAGCCACAGGGAAGATGCATGCTCTCAAAATTCTAATTTTTATCTCCTTGATGGTGCTTAACCATAGACTTTTAAGGCTGTTCAATCTTTGCATTGCTATGGCCATCCTCCTTTTAATTTCTGTCGAACAGTCTCCATTGTTGTTTATTATAGAGCCTAGATATTCAAAGTTTGTGACATTTTCATTTTCCTCATCATTTATTGTTAATTTTGGGTGACAGCCAGTTTTATCTGTGGACATTATTTTCGTTTTCTTTAAATTCAATAACAGATTTTGATCTTCACTGTGCTTTTGGACGGACAATGTTATAAATTTTATATTCCCTTTACGCTGTTCGAAAGGAGGACTGTGTCATCTGCGTATATGTGCCGAGAACCCTAAATCCATGATCAGAAAACAGGAAATCATGTCTGCAGCAAACTTTTCTCTAATCATTTATGATCTTCAGCCGAGAAATCCACATGTGACCAGTGAAAGAAATGATATATGAATGGAGTGAGGTCAGAAGGGTAGAATGTCAGATGGGTCTGTGTGCCAAATTCTTAAGGCTTTAAAAAAAAAGTCCTGGCATGTACCTGCAACGTTTCAGCTTACAAAATCCTGATGTACTTGATTCCAAGTTAGATGCAGTTACTTTCACAGCAAACACTTATTTTGACAACAGAATGAGAGCTAAAGTGCTCAGAATGCAAAGCGCCATTCTTAAAAGGGCTTCTGGCACAATTTATAGCGGTATACAGCTAGGCTGTAATATCTGTGCCTTTCAGCCAGACATTTGTGATTTCAGCAAACCCTTAATTAGTCAGCTTTTAGGACATGCTTGTTAGGGGGGCAGTGGGTCTATTCTTTTTCCCCCAATGGGGTCCCAGGACTCACACGAAGAGACTGTACCCTAAAGCCAAGGTTTTTTAGTATGGACATCATAGGCCCCTTTTATTTGTTTGGCAGATCACAAAATTGGAAACACAGCTCTATATCTACATCTCTCTCACACACACACAAGCAAATACGCATAACATAGCAATCAGGGTGCACTAGAGAAAAACTTTTTCCATTTACCATACAAGTACATATACCTCATCTGTAAGCTCTCAAGAGAACATGTGCATGCATCTCCCCCACACATTATTACAGAGATAACATTATGCACAACAGTGAAACCACTTCCAGGGAGATCACTCCTGTCTTTCACACCTAATCACACTTAGAGTTAACCCTCCCTAGGTAACCCAGAACTAACTCTCCCTACCAACCTCCGCACTCATTTCCTCACTCTCAACGGAATTTCCTAATTATTGTGGAAGAATGTCTGTCTGTCTGCACAAAGATAAAATGTGACATGTGCAAGAATGCAGGCAGGGGAAAAAAGCGAGGGAAGAAAAGAGGAGAACAGAATGAGGTCATCACCACAAATGAGCAAACTGACTTCAACAGAGGTCACGGGAGATACCTGTCATACAAAAGGACATGGGAATCTACACATGGGGGCTGTGTAAGAATGAGACCTTGGAATTTTTGGAGACCTGCCTGGCAAACTGCCTGCGATGATGCTGGATTCATGCTTCAAAGATAATCTTTGGTTTGTACAGGCTCCCCTTCAACAGATATACCGACAGGTGTTTCATTCTTCTTCCTTAAATCACACAATGAGAATCTTCCCTCAGCATACAAACTCTGCACGCCAGAGGTGAGCAGCACAATTTGTGTCAATAAGAACCAAACATACTATTTATAATATTTTTAATTTTTTTACATATATATATTTTTTAAAGTTTTTTAATGTGCAAATTTTGCAAGGGCAGCAACCTATTTTTCTTAAAAAGAATGGTTGGCACAGTATAGCGCAATTTACACCTAGGATGCAACACAGCATCTTTCAGCTCAACACGTCTGTTTTCAGCTGACCCTCAATCACCCTTTTCGAGATGCTCACTTACTGCCGTTGAGTTCTATTCTTTTTTTTTCCATTTTTTTTGTCTTTGCGCTCAAAAATAGGGCTTTAGAACCCTTATGGGGAGAAGCATAATACTTGAGAAAACGCATCTGTTCCTGTAGCAACATTCAGACTTGAGAGTTGGATCATTTCTCAATCACTAAAGAAAAAAAAGGAAACTTCTGAACTTGATGAAAATTCCTTAAATACAGTCCATCGAACAGAAGAAACATTTATCTTAGGGGGTAATTGGAAAGTCTTTTATTTTAGCATGAAGGTGTCGGAGCAACAAAGACCACCAGAAGTCACCACCAGAGAAAGCAACAAGGACTGCCAAAGGCAACCATCAAATGGGAAGAAGCATGGACAGAGCTGATATCATCTAGGCTGTAAGGATTAGGGTGGGGGATAATGACGAATCTATGACATTAACATGACTGCTCGACCGAGGAGTTGGTAAAGCACGTCTATATAATCTCTGAGGTAAAGACAGGAGATACTAAACCAGCTACTCATAGGAACAATCAGCAGAGAAACCTTGCTGCATTGGAGGACTGAGCATATGTGGGGATGCCCAATATGCAAAGACATTGATTGTGATAACATAACATAACATACAATAAGCAATTCACCATCATGGCAATAAAAAGACCACAAGTCATTTTCAATGCAACAAACAACACCCCAAATCACCATCAAAGCGACCACCAATTCCCCAGCAACAACACAAATCAGACAATGTTTTAGAGATATCCCAACAACACCATAAACCACCATCAACGCAATCACCATCAAAATAAGACCACAAATCAGAATCACGGCAGCATACAATTTACCATCAAAGCAACAACCCGCACAAAACAGAAAACAATTTACTTTGGGAATGGAGTTATTCCAAACAACAGTCACCCCCAAAGCAATAACCCAATTTCACCATCAAAGCAACAAACAACATGAACGCACCAGTCAGACAACACTTTATTATGGGATCAGATATCCCAAGCAACACCACAGATCACCATCAAAGCAACAAGCAACAATTAATTCACCATCAAAACAATTCATAAGACAAGACAAACAACATTTTACTGTGGGAAAAGAGTTATCCAGACATTATCTCATCCCTTCTCCCTGTTCTATCACTGTCAGAAACATTACCTTGCCTGCTTTATTCTCATTCTGCACCAGTTTTTATGAGTTTCTTTTCATCCTTTCTCTTAGACATTCCTAGACACTTTTTTCTTCAGGTGAGAGGGGAAACAGCATTCCCCAGTTTCCCCCAAATTCCCTATCACTTACCAGTCTGGCACCAAACTACAAGTGGCTTCGGTTCCATTCCCTCCCCTCCTCTCAAGTGCTTTTTTTCCCCAGGAGCCTAAGCATTCCCCCCGCGGCAGATGAGTCATGCTCAGGTATGTTATGTTACGTCCGGTAGCAATGGAAGGAAACTGGCTCACTCAAACGCTAGCATAGAGGCGCTAGCATAGAGGGGGTTATCTCTCTCTCTCTCTTTCACATCTCGACGTTTTTTTTTTAAACTAAATGCTTGCTCTCTCAACTCTCTCTTATCTTCTTTTTCTTCTTAACTTATATCTTTCAACCTTGGCCTCTCTATCTTACTCTGATCGACATTTAGCTCTTTATTCATTCAATTCTCTTTCCAACTCGCGCACACATGGAAATGCGCACACACACAGGCACATTCACAAGGACGACGACCCACATGCA